GAGTTGCACATATCGGATGAGAATAACATGATAGAGACAAATAGTTGAATACACAAGTAACATAATACGAGCAGAATTTATATCGGCCATCAATTTCACGTGGTTTCAATCAGCTGCCTACGCACATTGAATAGATTAAAATGATATAAGAAAAATACCGTGTATGGACATTAACATAATTACATGGGTTCAAGCGGAAATAAATGGTTTTCTGAATCACTACCACAGTCATATGGAGATGAGTAGACAAGGAGGGGAAATAATGGTTACAAAGATTCGGAAAAAAGGATGCTAGGATAGAAACATGTACGTAATGGAAAAAAGAATAACCGCGGAGGGGAGTTGAAATCGATTGCGTATTACAAAATAGATGCAAACATTCCTACAGGGATCTAACAAAATAGATACAACCAGAAATAAATTAAAACGGATGTAGAAAGGTAACGGAGTAGAAAATTGATCAAATTGGTTAAAGAGTTAAGTAATATGGAAATACATGGATGGATGGAATCTGGATGACTTTTTGAACCTTCAGCTATTCGATGATTAGCCTTAGCTTGCTTAAACATCTCATTGTATGAATGGTGTATGAATCATCTTGATCATCGACCTCAGTTCTAGACTGTGGTTTGCTGCCTGACGGATCAGAATTTGGCTAGTACAAGAACGTGGGCCTCAAATAAAATCACTGGCTATAACCTGAGCAATCTGGCAGTATTGTGCACGCAAAGGAAACACGGATTGCTGAGATTCACCCGTCATTGTGCCATGATTGTCATCGGGACACTGTCTGAAATTAAGCAAGCTCATATGCTTTTACCCACGGGGGAAAATAGCATGCGTAAGAAAATTAAAAAGATTTGCAAACATCCAAACACACCATTACCGATACACTGATGATTAAGCGGTTTTCTGGCGTCGAAGCGCTTTCAACCTAATGCCAAAGCTCGAACGACTAGAGGACACTGCAATATAACACCCGATCTATACCAACCGCACAGTTTGAACCTGAATCATCTAAAAGAATTCGAGCAAAATCAAAAACTAAAGCGGTTCAAAGCAAGCATTTTGAAAAAAGATGAAGCATGAAAAGAGAGTGAGATCAGAATCCATCACACAACAACTGGAAGTATTCTCGATCCGATAAGAGTATGGTATAAGAAGCCCAATCTTGACAAAATAGACAACGTAGAATAAAAAGCACCGTAGAGCCATAAGCTCAGGACATTCAAGTATAATCTGGTCTTATTATACTGACTACGTGTCAGTTCGACGCCCCGCCAGGAGTCAGAGGATCACAGGACCACATTCCACAGGAGGTCACATAGACTGAGAGTAGGTTTGAACTGGTAATTTATTGAATACTTGGTGTATTTGTAAGGGTGGGGTTTGATACATATCGTACTATGAGGATATAAACAGTCTAATTTAAAAGACTGTCAAATAAAATATTCACTACCCATACGGTGTTCTCTTTCTGTGAGTGCACCAAAACCCAAAGAAAAGACAGAATATTGAGCATTAAATACGGTGAAGTGAAATTCACTTGTCGCTGCCAAACTCAAAATGCGCACAAGGTTAGTAGTACAATGAACGATGTACACCGTTTAGGCCTACTTTCAAAGAAAACGAAAAAAGTGAACCTCTATGGTCAACAAACAGAGTACACAATCTAACTGTGCATTCATACCGTTTCAAGCATTCTGGCCGGATAAGATATATCAACAAGAACGTCAATGCTGTCGGTTCACAGTCATATCCTCCAATGTCGCCACCCAACCAGTTGCAGAGTCTTTCTGACCCCAACATTTAAGGGGTGAGACATCTACTCTACGTAATAGCTTTGTGCATGTCTTCATGCCTCGTCTCCACGTCACCTGTTAAAGTGTATGGGGTTTATTCGAGCTCGTGGCTGCTACGACAAATCAAGCGCCGTGCGGCGGACGACAGCTGGACATACGCAATAAGTGTTCTAGCCAGCGAATCCTACTAATCGGAATTCGATGAGCTAGCAAGTTCATCCCTGATGAACTCCCAAGCACGATGTCATCGGCGCACTCGAAATAGCACAGCTTTTCTCCAGCTGTCCATTCAATACCTATGTTTTAGAGACCACTTTGTGCGTTCTCCGGAGTTTCGTCCACAACGAAATTGAACAGGAATAGCGAAAGAGGGCATCCTTGACGAACATCGCTGCTGGTGTCGAACGGTTTACTTAGTTCGTTGTAAACCCTCACTCAACTAGAGATAAGTGAGTACGGTGACCTCAGTAAGTTGACGTACTTCTGGGGCATTCCTTTTCGAAGAAGGAATCCCGTCGGGGCTTCGTGGTCAACAGAGTCGAAGGCTCCTTTCAGGACCAGCAACACGGCGATCGTAGGTCGACACTGGGTGTGAGGCAGCCCAAGAACCTGACGCAACTAAAAAATATGACCAACAAATCCACAGCCAGGCCGGAATCCGGCCTACTGTTCACGGATGTTGATCTCCCCCTAACGGTGTCAGACGTTGAAGCATGACTGAAGCTAGCACTTTGTTGACGATTGGGATCAAACTTATCCCGCAGTAGTTTTCGCAATCGTTTCGGGATACTTTCTTGAAAATGGCAACTACCAGTGATTCGCCCCAGTATGAAGGAATGCGCTCATGCGTCCAAATGTTGCTCGGTAAAGTAGTAGTGGAGCTTATGATGTTATCGATCTTCTCACACCCTGAAAAGAGTGTGGGGGAGCCCATTCAACCCTACCACTTTTCCTCGCCTCCGAGATTGAATGCAAGACTGAACTTCTGCTTCTGCCGGAGGATTGCACGTCACTGCCCACGGGGCTTCAGTTGCAGATGCATTAATCTGGCTAGAGCCAGGCCAGCTGAACTATTCGCTGAAGTATTCCGCATAGTGATTAAGCCGTCGATTTCTATTTTGAACAGCTCGTCTCTTTTATCGCAGACTATTTCACTAACTGTGTTTCGTCGACCTCTCGTATTGCGTATCAGTCGGAACAGTCTTTGACTATTCCCTAATGCAGCTGATACTTCCTTTTCACTAGCCATTGTTACCCACCAGTTCTCGCTGTCCATCTTGAGGCTCTTCGCGAGCCAAGGTTGAAAACGCCACCTAACACGGTTTTGACATTGACAGGTCGTTATTTGTCGCTTTTTATCCATCACGGTACATTTTTTATTTTGCTTTTTGGTGCCGACCTTTGGTGTGCGACATCGAAGTTGCTCGAGGGACTATTACAGTTCGAACCAAGGGGCTGGGTATAGAAGACGAAGAACTTAACAAAATGTGGGAAGTTTTAGCAGTAGATCACTAATCACTACCCACCACGCTCGATGCAATGAACGGCGCGGTCCTCGTTATTCTGCGCGACGACCGATGCAGTATGCAATTATTTTTCGTTTGTGTATGCATTGGGGTTTGACGGACGGGTACTGAAAGAGTGTCCAGCCACTCAGCAGGAAAACGATTAGGGTTCTCAGCCAAAGCCTTAGCGAAGTGGAGGCCCATTTACTTGGAGCAGCTACTACTTCACCATATTTTACTGACTGAAATACCAATTCTAGTCAACCCCTAACCTGGAGGCTGTACTTCGTCTGACCTCTACCCATTGACCTTCCAAGCATGGTAAAATGTCCTGGCTTGAAAAAATCCGTCCTGCATAACTCGTTGGGTCAGAGAGGTGCACAAGCCATCTCAGTTCGTGAAGGTGCACTCTTTCACATCAACACCGGATTTCATTTTTAGCGACAAAAGTAGCTCTTCAGAACCAGTGTACTGCTGAATTTTGATCATGGACCTCACTTATTTTTGATGGGTACAAACAAAGGGTCAATGTCGAACTAAATGCGAATACCTTAAAAAGGTTCAATAATTCCACACTTTCAAATTAGCTTCGACTCTACCAGATGAACAATTGGAATTGTTTTCCAAGATAATTTCTCTTCAGTTCCAGTTTTTATAACCATTACCCTGAATTTTCGTGCGCCGGTTTTAGTTACTGTCCTTTGACCGCCCACTTAGATAAAAGAGCAGAATGAAGAAGAAGAATGAATGTTTGAAGCAAACTCAGGGCGGAGATGTAGAATTCATGTAGACTTGGGTTGCATGAATATTGAGTAGATGGATCCGCACCACTGTTCGCAACACAGCGTCTCTAACCACCTAACGAGATACAGTGTAGTGATTAGGTTTTTCACACTCTCATGAATTCTTAGTTTCACCCCACCTGACATTTTTCCATCCTAACACGGTTTTGATATTGGCAGGTCGTGATTTGTCGTTTTTTATCAATTAGGGCTAATTACTCCTGAGATATTCAATGCCCCCGATGGACTTGAGGCTCAAACACAGAAGTAACATTTGTTGCGGAATTCGTTGCGCGCCCAATCTGATCCCAATGCTCATCTACATCATCACTTTGAAGCGCATCTAGCTCACTCACTATCTCTGACTCATTGCGTGCACGAACTGTTGGAACAGATAAGCGATGATCAGCTAAATACGTTTAGGCAAAGTAACCAAATCAAAATCCGTCTTCGAACCACGTCACGTAATTGTATTCTTCTCCTCCAAAGAGCCCTATCTCATGCAGTTTCATGG